CTCGATAGATACCCAAGGTACAAATTGGAGAGAATGAAGCCGTTTAGGTAGAGCGTCAGGAACATAGTTTTGCGCAAAAGTGAGCGCAAGGGTCGCAAATTAAAGGTTAAGCATAGAAAGCTGGCGCACACATCTAAGCCCAACCTGCCGAAATGCCACTCGGCGCTTTGAAGCCATGTCAAGAGCGTAGTGGCAAGTGTTACCAAGCAGATGCTGGCAGCAATCGCGAGCCATGTTTTGGCCTGAAATGGCACCTGGAAGTAGTAGAACTTTGAAAGCGGCGGAGCGTAACGTACCATCAAGTAAACGTTATACAACTGTAGTGGCGTACTCACCACGCCCTTGGCGCTGTAAATATCCCACTCGGAACAGGCGTCCACTAATCGCGTGCGCAGCTGTTCACTGCATACGTTATTTATACTCGCATTAAAAGCGCCAGAACTAGGCATGAACGAAGGTTCAATTGTAGCGTTGTAACGCTGGGCGAAGGCGGCAAAAACTTGCGCCGCAGCGCCGCTGAACTGCCGCTCGCCGGTCCGCGGATGCCGATAGATTATTGTGTGCGGTGGGTCGTGTGCGTACAAGATGCGCAAGGGATGTCCGTGTAGATCATGCCAGCCATTGCGTCGATTCTTCACATACGAGGTCAGGGTAGTGCTTACCACTCGCAGTTGTGGAAAGGGTGCTACGGTTAGAAGTTGGCCGTGCTCATCTGCCAACAACAAATTGTAGAAGCCATGTTGCCAACAAAACTCGAAGAGTGGTGTCCACAAGTCGGTGTCCTTCGTAAATGCATTCGGCCAAAGGAAAAGCGCATCGGCGTGGTAGAGGCGCGCCAGTGTGGCGAAAAATGTGTGCTGCCAGCTGATATCAGTGGGGCTTTCGAGTAGAACCAATGCCAATATGGGCATATCGAAGGTATAGCGTAGTGCGTGGGTAGTATTTGAGGTTACAATAATTTTTGGCAAAGTCAAATTTGCTATGATTGCTGCGAACTGCGATGTTGCTTGGAAGGCGTAGACTAAGTTTGTAATGGCGTGCAGCTCTCGACTCAAATTATTCGATAATTTGATGATGTCTGTGTTTTGTGCGTAGCATTGTAAGATGAGTAGGGCACAAAAGGGTACGGTTCGAAACATTTTCCGGGAAAATCACTACGTTACTCGCGTCGCACTGAAATCGCACTGAAATATAAATGTTTTCCAGTTATCTTCCAAGTGTTTGAAGTGAAAATTCTACATAGCTGTAGGCAACATTGGCGCATTTAGTAAAACATTTTTAATTTGCAATGCTTTTAATCACTGAGTAGCGGCAATTAATAGTAGAGGCGAANTTCGTAAATGCATTCGGCCAAAGGAAAAGCGCATCGGCGTGGTAGAGGCGAAAAATGTGNGCTGTAGGCAACATTGGCGCATTTAGTAAAACATTTTTAATTTGCAATGCTTTTAATCACTGAGTAGCGGCAATTAATAGTAGAGGCGAATGACCCAAAGGAGTTGAATGTACAGATATATTTTCACAGCCTAACCCAGCCCGAATAATTTAGGTAGCAGTATCCAACAAAAGTTTTAATTTCTAAAAAATTTTCAATGAGAATATCTTTACGCATACATATGTACATATGTATGTATAGCATATCTTTATGAACACATATTCGCAATATTGATGTCATATCTACTCACATAGGAGTACTAATAATTATTTGCATTTTACCTTTAACTGATAAAATCAATACGCTGAATATCCGCTTTGACAAAAGTTCAGAATTTTTGCACGGCACAAAAATATTTTGAAGCTTAATTATGCATTTAAATATTTATATTGTAAATTTTATGACAATAATTAATAATGCTTGGATCACAATACTACCGGTCTACAAGTTGTTTACCGTCAAAGCTTATACGTCAAAGTTAAATCGATACATGAAAACATGGCGCTTATCTACTTACACACACATACGCAAGTTTCTGGCCATTTAAATGGCATTACAAATATAATTTGTTTGCTGATACCATTTCTACATACACACATTTATCGTTACAGTTTTCTTATCGATTAATGTATTGTTATCGATGGACTTATCGTCATTTCAGTAAGCATATCCGATATGTCGATATCGTTGACATATCTGTAGATTCGTCATCGATATATGTTTTTATTGGTTTCTGTCAGCGATATATTTATCGATATATGAACATATAAAGCATTGTGGTGATATGGATATAAGTTGATGTAAATATCTATCGATGTCCTTCGTAGTCCTTCTCATACTCGTATTCATCTCCCTAGCATGAAACTGTAATTCCATTTCGTCAAATTCGAAAAACGTTTTTGTATCGGGAAAAAGTATCGAGTATTTATGGACTTGCAAGTATAGGTATCAGGTCACTACTAGTACCAAAATGACTCTTCAAATTGGTATTTCAAGCCTAGAAATAGAAAGACTGATCAGTATTCATGCACACTCATCCGGAAACTCAACGCGATTTTTTAGCCGGTTGAAACTTATACTTCGTTAGCGTAAAATTGAATGGGCTTCGAAGTGCATACTCCACAATTTTCTAGAAACTCTTCAGAAAAAGTTGAAAATTTTTGAAATATCTCTGAACTTTATATAAAGTGTGAAACTTTGATTCAAGGGTTTATATTATAGAATGAACTTTATTTTCATAAATAATTAATGCAAAAAATTTTTCATGAAAATACTTATGCATATTATATTTGAACAAGGTGTGCACTTTCATTTGTCGCCTAGTGTATATGCATAATGTTTATATTTTCAACTAATATGTAAATAGTTACTTGTCACTTGTAATGACAAAATAATAAAATCATGTACAACTCAAGCACGAAGTTCAACTGCGTTCAAATACACATAAAATTAATTAAATATCGGCAAATAAACTTCAAATATTAAACAAGACTTTGACGCATAGAAATATACAAACGCTAGAACCTCGTCAACATTTTCATTCGAATTCGATTTGAAACGGTGTGAATGAAGTTCGTTTGGAAGAAAAGTAATTATTTAAATATGAAAACATTATTTCGAGTTCGCCTACTTTGAAACTTGTCAAAGTTTAGCGGTATATTTGTTTCTAAGAAAACAGCAGCAGAAAAAACGAATGGCTCATTTTCGCATTGAAATCCATATTGATTTCAAAAATGAATAAAGAAAAAAAGTTTAAGCTGTGCGTTTAAAGAGCTTTCACAAAAAAGAAAGCTTTCACTCATTTTAAACTCAATAAAATTAAGCGTAAAAAGTGCAAAACTCACAGGCATAGATAATAATGTATTTCTCAAAAATGTTGACACTTAAATCAAACCTTCAAAACTTTCCATAATTTCCATAAGCTCTTCTAGTTTAAAAGAATATCTCCAATGGATTGTGTATAAATAGAGTTTTTGGTTGCTTATTGGGCAATTTCTAAAATCAACACCGCGTATAGTGGCAGACGGTTTTAGCACACTGTTGTTGGAATTTGAAAAAACGTCAACAATTTGCCAATAAACAATCACGCAGTACACACGATGTATTGATGAGTAAATATTTTAAATACATATGTATTGTATGTGGTTATTTCTTCTCTGTATTTTTAATTTTTTGTATGAGCCTGCGCTTTGGAGAAAAGTAAACAAATTCCTTACATGCAAGCAAATAATAAATACATAATAATTTAATTAGCGTACAAATTAACTTTTACGATTTATTTGCGCAAATTCATTTTAGAGAGAAAAAAGTGTTGAAAATGTGTGTCTTTTAAATACACAAGGAAACTAAAAAAAAAAAAAAAATATTGATTAAAATTGTATAAAAACCGTGGAAGGTTAACGTGGATTTTAAATAGTAAGTGCCACAGTAAAATATATATAAAATAAAACACAATTTATTCACAATAAAAAAAATACAAAACAAAAAAAAAAAATTAATAAAACCAAAAAAGTTTTGTTTCGAACAAAGTGTAAACAATCGTATGCATCATCATCAAAACATCTCATGGATGCGCGGTATATTCATCTAGGGCTGCTTACTTAACTTGTCAAAGGTTTCTCTATGATAAACTGAGCTCTTCGTCGTCTGATTTTCAGTCGTAATATACGCTTTTTGGAACCGCTTTTTTTTCGAAAAGGCGTGGTGTATATTTGTATGCACCAGCGGGCTTCAGCTGTTTCGTGTGTTTCCTAGGTAGCTTTTTAACAGTAAACTAAAGTAAGTAAATTGAATCAAATGAACCAAACAAAAAACAGTAATATATACTTTGATTCGGGAGATATTTTTGAGATTTGTTTCATACGGAAAAAATTTAGGACTGAAAATTAACAGCGCAAAATTTTTTTTCGGCGTCGCTTATCTTTTAGGTAAATGAATTGTAAATTTTCTCACTCATACATACAGGATCGGTCGTATCAATAGCACCCCAGTTTCAAAGTGATATTGTTTGGCACTTACATATGTTTATTTACCTATTCTTAGAATTTTCAATTAAAATACAGTTCATTCTCTAAAAAAGCCCCATATAAACCCATGTTTAAAACGGTAATAAAGACAGTCACAACATTTTCATCCAAGTTTCAAAGTTTTTTCTCAGAAGTGTTAGAATTTGTTTGAACATAGTTTCAATTTTAGTGTGTAAGTTTCAAGTGGCTAAAAATTACTGTTGATTTTTTGTCGTATTTGCCCCATGTAACGACTAAACACAATATGTTTATTTTTATATGAAAGAAAACTGCAACACCTTCCGCCAAAAAAATCTAAAAAATCAACGTTAATTTTAGCTACTTGACTTTTGCACATTATTACTCTTAAACTGAATGGACTATAAAATTGTATACTAAAATAAATGATAACACTCCTGAGAAAAAAGCTTGAATTTTGGATACAAATTTTCATTTTAATAACTGTTCATATCTCTTTATAAAAAAAAACTATTTCCGATTTGCCTTTAAACATTGTCCTATCCTATATGTTCTATCATTTTTTTCGCAAAAACTTCACTTACCATCAGGAGGTAAATAATCTTGGCATAGACCGTAAGCTGTGGTAACCTGAAAAAGTAAGAAAAATCAATGAAATAGCAATTAAAAATTTCAGTTATCTTTATCATAACGAGTACACATCGTAAAAATTTGTATTATATTTAGTAATCTTATCAATCAGCACCGTTCTAGCTACGTATAATATGTATGTATGTACAATGGAAATTCTTTTGCAAATATTTGTAGAGCAGCTACACGCCTTTAATTGTTTCAAACACCAGGCGCTTCACCATATGTATTAGAAAAGCAAATTTGGAAGGTCGCTAGAGGATTGATACGTTCTATAAAAGAATTCTTCGGAAAATTTTACTAGGGGTCTTCTCAGGCAAAAACTTCATGCCGCCTAGGTAAAAAAGTCTCTATAAAATTAAAACAAAAAATCTATGCTAATAAGGAATAACAGCCAAACTCAATTAAAAAAAAAAAAAAATTGTAGAGTCTTCCACGTTGGTGGCAAGAAGCTTTTGCCTGAGAAGGCCACTAATAAAATTTTCCGAAGAATTCTCTAACGAACTTCCAAATTTGCCTTTTGCAGTGTTTAATGAAGTAAGGTTCAAAACAGCCCTATCAGGCGGGAGCTAATGGGTTAAAATGTTTTAGGAAAATATTTCCAATGAAATTTGATTTCGCTTAGACATTTTTGGTGCTTTTTAATACTACTTAGGCTGGGAAATGAAAACTTTATAAGGCCAGAAAATAAAAATACGAGCTAATTTTTTGCAAATCCATCGAGTGTTTTGTTACTGGATATGTATACTTTTAGAAAATATTAGCAAAATTCGGACTGGTTTGAATTGTCATAAAATTGTCGCACAGTGTTATTATATATATGGGGCTTTCCATACCAAAATGGACGGGTTCACACTTCATGTGTTTGATTTGTTTCAAATTTTTAGGGTTGATGGACAAACAGAAATAATAAATAAATATGAAATTTGAGCTTGATTAACACATTTTTTAAATCTTTACAGCACATAAACAAAAACAAATCGTTTTAATAGTTTTCCATATATCTCGAGAACGGGACGAGGAAAAAATTAAAAAACTGACACATACACACATCAAAATTCTCTATGAAAAGAAATATTTTTGAATTTTTTTTCTTGAAAAACTTTTCACACAAAAATTTTTTGAAAAAAAAAAAATAGTTTTTTAAAATACCCCATCTCAAAAAAAAATCACAATGGTAGCTCTGATTATTGCGCAATATTTAAGACTAGTATTATGGGGTGCACTCTACAATAATTTGAGTTATGAATTTCTTTTACACCGAAGTTGAGTAAAATGAGAACATTGTACATTACAAATTTTTAGAATTCTTTTTAGAATTTTCTTGAGTATATTCTATTGTAGCCCATTAAATTTTAGTATAATAAAGTGAAAGTTTTAAGTGATTGCAAAACTGGCGTTAATTTTTTTTTTTTAATTTCCTTTGAAAACGGTTTTGCGCATTTGATTCTATAAGAAAAAAGTGCAAAAAGCCGTCAGCATAAAAAACATTAAAAATCAACGTAATTTTGCAGAAGCTCAAAACTTTTTTGCAAAAAATTCTACAAAAAAGTTAACAAATTTGTAAATTTGTAATTTACTCATTTTACTCGACATCGGTGTAGAAAAATGCAAAAAAAATTCAAAACTTTTCCTCGTCCCGTTCTCAAGATATTTGGAAAACTTTTAAATCGAGTTGTTTTTGTTTTTTTGCTGTAAAGTTTNTTTTGCAGTGTTTAATGAAGTAAGGTTCAAAACAGCCCTATCAGGCGGGAGCTAATGGGTTAAAATGTTTTAGGAAAATATTTCCAATGAAATTTGATTTCGCTTAGACATTTTTGGTGCTTTTTAATACTACTTAGGCTGGGAAATGAAAACTTTATAAGGCCAGAAAATAAAAATACGAGCTAATTTTTTGCAAATCCATCGAGTGTTTTATTATTGGATATGTATACTTTTAGAAAATATGAGCAAAATTCGGACTGGTTTGAATTGTCGTAAAATTGTCGCACAGTGTTATTATATATATGGGGCTTTCCATACCAAAATGGACGGGTTCACACTTCATGTGTTTGATTTGTTTCAAATTTTTAGGGTTGATGGACAAACAGAAATAATAAATAAATATGAAATTTGAGCTTGATTAACACATTTTTTAAATCTTTACAGCACATAAACAAAAACAAATCGTTTTAATAGTTTTCCATATATCTCGAGAACGGGACGAGGAAAAAATTAAAAAACTGACACATACACACATCAAAATTCTCTATGAAAAGAAATATTTTTGAATTTTTTTTTCTTGAAAAATTTTTCACACAAAAATTTTTTAAAAAAAAAAAATTGTTTTTTAAAATACCCCATCTCAAAAAAAAATCACAATGGTAGCTCTGATTATTGCGCAATATTTAAGACTAGTATTATGGGGTGCACTCTACAATAATTTGAGTTATGAATTTCTTTTACACCGAAGTTGAGTAAAATGAGAACATTGTACATTACAAATTTTTAGAATTCTTTTTAGAATTTTCTTGAGTATATTCTATTGTAGCCCATTAAATTTTAGTATAATAAAGTGAAAGTTTTAAGTGATTGCAAAACTGGCGTTAATTTTTTTTTTTTTAATTTCCTTTGAAAACGGTTTTGCGCATTTGATTCTATAAGAAAAAAGTGCAAAAAGCCGTCAGCATAAAAAACATTAAAAATCAACGTAATTTTGCAGAAGCTCAAAACTTTTTTGCAAAAAATTCTACAAAAAAGTTAACAAATTTGTAAATTTGTAATTTACTCATTTTACTCGACATCGGTGTAGAAAAATGCAAAAAAATTCAAAACTTTTCCTCGTCCCGTTCTCAAGATATTTGGAAAACTTTTAAATCGAGTTGTTTTTGTTTTTTTTGCTGTAAAGTTTTCAAAAATGTTTTAATCAAACTAAAATTTCTTATTTATTTATTATTTAAGTTTGTCCATCAACCCTAAATTTTTCAAACACATGGAGTGTGAGCTCCATCCATTTTGGTATGGAACGCCCCATATATAGAAGTTAAAAAAAAAGTAATTTAATTCTTGGGAAAAGAGATATCACATTCAAGTTACATACGTACATATAGTAAATACATATTTGCTTCGGTTAACTGACTTTTTTGTTACCTTACCAGATTCATTTGGTCTCAAGTGGCACGGAAAGTTCAATGTATTTAATGATAATACGTAAATGAAATAATTACGAAATATTTCCGCAGGTATATCATAAATCTACAATAACCTTGGTACGTATGTATGTATGCAAGTAATTTTCGCAGATAATGCGGGGATTTTTAGTTTAGTTTCACTTGGCAAGCGAGGCCGAATTTACAGAAGAGCTTGCTTATCTTAAGCGTTTTCTGTGCCAGTCAAAGCAAAAGTTATTGATGTTATTCACTAACAAAAGTAACTACATATAAGTAATTTAAAATATATTTCCTTGTACATATGTATGTATGTATTTGCTTTAGCACACAATTTTTTCTAAACTTTTATTCCGAACGTAAACCAGAGGAAACTTAATGTGCACTATTAGATGTTTATCATTTAATTAACAAAATCTAAATGCCACAAAAAAACTTCCATCTTTACAAGCTTGTCATTAACAAACGACAAGAAATCATTTCCGTAACGTAGATTTACGGATTTGTGATATTTGATGGCGATAAATCTCGTGACTTGCGCTGAGTGTACATACTTACTAACAGCTAGCTATGATGGTCTCCATGCGTGTATGTGGCACCTACTCGCCAGAAAGCCGGTCCAGCCACCCGCAGTGTTGCGGCATGCGCGCCACAATTGTCATCGTTCGCGGCTTGCGCTACCCATTAGCCGGTCGATTTCCTACTAATTTATTGCTGAAAATGCATTGATTTACACATTTTCATTTCCGTGCTTAAAAATGTGAAATTTATGTTTGAATTTTCTTAGAATGGCTTGTTCTAAAAATATATACATACATATTTATGTATGTACATATGCATGTGTTTCTGCAGTTTGGTAACGTCGCAATGGTGGCGCCATGGCGAGAAATCAGTGTTCAAGGTGAATCAAGGTAGAGTGGGCTGAATTCATGGTTTTTAACTCATTTTTGTGATATTTACGCTACTTAAATTTTATTCTTCTTTAACTAAATATTTGATAATTTTTTTATGGAAAACATCTTACCAATTTCAAAGGGTGATAACTTTTTGGTAACTGTGATTTTTTAGGAGCAATCTTAGGTTAGGTCTGAGTGAAATGGGTGGAGAGTAGACTTCCCCATATATACAGTGCTGGAACAAACTATAGCCGCACCACATTTTGACAAGTTTTATGATGTTTTTGTTTTTCGTTTTTGATTTTAATTTTTTTATAAAAAATTAGCGTTGATTTTTTACACTTTTTTTGTCGAAGATTTAAAATATAAAAAGTAATTTTTAGTCATTTAAAACTTGTACTTTATTCCACTAGAATTACATGAGCTTTAAAACAGCATACTAAGAATCTTTCTAGGAAATCTAATTAAAAAGGCTCGAAATGTTTACAAAAGTTTGTTCATTTTTTTAAATACATATTGCACAAAGTTTGAAATTTGGATTTACACGGGTTTTGTTAAAGAGAGAACTATATTTCTATAAAAAAATAACCAAAATAAAATAAGAAAAAAAATAATATGTTAGAACTTGTCAAAATGTGGTGTGGCTATAATTTGTCCTTATCCGAAAATTAGCCCGTCGAGTACCCACTTTGTTGACACTGTCAAATAATAGTTTGCTAAGTTTGGGAGGCCTTGAAATAATAGTTTGCCAAGCGTGCATAATCTTCTGCTAAAAACCAAGCAATGGCTTAAATTTCCTATTTTTGAGACGTAAGTTTTCCGGTTACCCTGGCTATTACAGGATATTAAATCCTGTTCCCTCTTCAAGCTCCGTGTTGTCTCCTAGATTGCCAACACTTTCGCTTGCTATGCATTGCAGGGGCCGGGCCGTTGAGCCGAAAAGATGGTAAAAAGCAAA